CTCATCAGCTTCGGTATACAACTCAACCAACTTCTTTGGCCAAATAATAAAGTTGTGCAATGCATCCCTTAACAGTTGAACCTCATCGGTAGGGAAGGGTACCTTTGCACTTGACACGAGAATTTCAGTCACGGTGACCTTCACTTGATTCGCATGTATTTGTATCCTGTGAACCCTTTCGGCCTTGTAAACTGTCCCACGTGTAACTTTACGTCTAATGGGATCTTCCAAATACAATTCACATCCGGCTCCTAACTGCATGAATTCATATTAAGAAATAGGTAAAATGTTTTTAATAAATAATAAGATTAGTTATAATTGATTACTTACGGCCGGTAAATCAGCAAAAGGGTCTGGAGAGCTTGCTTTTTCACTTTGACCATGTGGTTGGACAGCTACACGCATGTCTTCCTCCTGCCTTGATGGTACAGGTTGAGCCGCTAGAGTCCTCATACTACTAATTTCATCCCTCATCTCTCGAATGGCTGCTTGCAAGGATGTTTCATATTCCTCTCGGGCAACCGCTAACGCCACAACAACTGCTGTCTTAATCATATCTTTCACTTGTGGTGTAGACTGGATTTGACGACGTTTTGCATGACCAAAGTAGCTTTTTAAGCCATGTGCTCTACCCATGGCTCTAACACGTCTGCAATGCTCATCCGTACCTATGGCACTAGACAATATATCTTGTGTACCAGACTCAACAAATTCTCCTTGAGAAGCTTGCAATGATAGCAAATCCTAACATATAAAAACAATATTTAATAATGATTACTAGCTATCTTAATAATGTAGAAAATTTTAACATTTTACTTACAATCTTTTCCACGACTATTCTAGTCGCTTCGTTGTTGATATTTCCTGATTTGTTCATTCTTGCCCTCTTTCACTTTTCATGTCTAGCTGGCGGAGATGGAGGAACAACTACTGACGATGGATCTGATCTTGCAGCTTCTTCTTGTTCTTTCATCTTCTCATCCATCATAATCTTCTCCAATCTCTTATAGCCTCCTCGGGCTAAATGATATGGATGAACATTCTTACTCCGTATTTCTTGATATTTCTTTCTTGATTCCTACACAAAAAGAAAACATTAAGTAAAAATATATATCTTTAATATATTTGAGTTAATAAATAATTGATAGAAAAATTATAATATATACCTCAAACTCTACAGTTTTACGCCGCTCCACGTACGTTTTCCATGTATTTGGATCAACAAATGTGTATTTTTTACATGGAGTATTCTTTATCGGGTCTTCATTATGGAATATGTAGTCTCTGTTCAATCTAGCTTTAAAATCTCTCCATCGTTCACCCACATATTTCATCAAAAAATCCTTCAGATCCGCATCATCAGTGGGAATATCATAAACGCTCTGCAAGACAAGATTACTTATTAGAAACAAATTAAATACAATTAATTCAATAGTTTTATAAATAAGTTGCATACTGTGATATCATCCCACACCAACGCTTTACTCTCTTCTAGGACCACTTTCCAATCTTTATATGTGATTGGAACTTTGCTCCGTGCAATCAACGCAAAGTAACTTTTGAATTGGGTGCTCCCTGGCCCAACAGCTTCGTGTTTACTATTAAATTGAACCACCAATTTTGTGTCACCACGCCCAGAAATTAATTTTGTCATAATGGTGGCACCCCTCTTCTTAGCTTTGGTATTAGTACCTTTAGCTTGGATGGTACTATCAACAGGGGGGTCATTTGATGAATCCATATGCCTGTTTAGCAAAGAAATTATTAGTGAATTGACAAAAGAATAATATACATAAATATAACTGTAAATATTTAGATATAGTAAACACAAGAAGAAGTTAAAGCATTACAAATAATAATCAATTCTCCCATAGCCCTTCATGATGATCATCACGTGATGCATGCACTTCATCTATCTCATTATCTATAATAACTGGTAATAAACTTGAAGAAAAGGGTGGTATTTCCTCAATCTCATAACTAACATCTTCATTCCCTTCACCAGTAATTTGTCTCTTTCCACGAAGAACAACAGACCATTTTTTATCACTAGGATCAGTAACAAAAAATACTTGTTTTGCTTGAGATGCCATTATAAATTGCTCATTTTTGTGACCTTCCCTGTTCAAATAGACAAGTGTAAACCCTAACTCATCAGCTTTAACACCGTGTTTACTATCTACCCATTTACATCGGAACATCGGTACTTTGAACTGAACATAATCAACCTCCCATATTTCTTCAATCACGCCATAATATGATAACTCTGCAATGACCGGATTTTTATCTTTCGAACTACTGAAGTGCACTGAATTTGCAACCAAAGAAACTCCACTGTTTTGCATAGTGCTCTTTTCATCTTGTTTTTTTTTTTTTTTTTTTTTTTTTTTTTTGTATAAAAAGAAAATCCATTTATATCATATCCAGTATAACATATGACTTGCATACAAGGACCATGAGCTAACCATCGTACTGTTTCAGAATAGTTAGTAGCACTCAAAACTTTATTCTTGAACCAACTAATAAAAGTACGATTATGTTCGCTCACAATCCACATGTCTGTCTTTCTTGGATTTTGCTCTTTAATCAATGCCTTGTGCTCATTTAAATATGGCTCGACTTCACTTGTATTATGCAAGATGTACAAATGTGCTTCCTCAATATCTTCACGAGGCATACCAGCTACTTTGCGTCCTCGAGTACCTTTCCCAGCACTTCTTCCTTCATGTCGATACTTAGAAAGACCAATAGCTTCTACCCCCGCCAAATATTCAGTTACCTCCTCAACAATATAGCTTTCAATCTAAATATGGCTCGACTTCACTTGTATTATGCAAGATGTACAAATGTGCTTCCTCAATATCTTCACGAGGCATACCAGCTACTTTGCGTCCTCGAGTACCTTTCCCAGCACTTCTTCCTTCATGTCGATACTTAGAAAGACCAATAGCTTCTACCCCCGCCAAATATTCAGTTACCTCCTCAACAATATAGCACAATATAGCTTTCAACAATAGATGTCGATACTTAGAAAGACCAATAGCTTCTACCCCCGCCAAATATTCAGTTACCTCCTCAACAATATAGCTTTCAACAATAGATGCTTCTGGTCGATATCGGTTCCTCACATAACCTCTTCTGGTCGATATCGGTTCCTCACATAACCTTTTAAGACTTTCATGTACCGTTCAAATGGGTACATCCACCTCAAATAAGTAGGACCGCATTGTTTGATCTCTCGCAAACAGATGTACAACCAAATGAACCAGGGCCGGATTTTGAGTTTTTGTGGCCCTGTTATAATTTTTATAATTGACATATGCAAGTTTCGAACCCTTGACCTCCAATTTAAAATATATTAAATATACATTTTTACCATATCTTCATAAAACCTTTTAAGATTAATTGAAAATTTTTAATTTTTATTTCTAAACTAGCTAGGTAAAAATTAAATATTGGGCCTCTAAAATTTGGGGCCCCTCTAAAATTAGGGGCCCTGTGCGGTAGCCCAGCTTGCACAGCCTCAAATCCGGCCCTGAAATGAACCATGACATCAAAAAATGACAGTGGAAAATACATCTCCAACTGATACAATGTAACAATAATGCCATTTTGCAATTCATCTAGTTTGTCTGGATCAATCACTTTTCCACAGATAACATTGAAAAAGAAACAAAATCTTATAATAGTATATCTCAACTTTTTGGGCAATATACCTCTAACAGCCACTGGCAATAGTTGTTGCATTAAGGCATGACAATCATGAGATTTCAATCCTACCAATTTTAAATCTTGCATATCCACAAGTGTTCTAATATTTGATGAGTACCATTGTGGTACCTTGACTCCACGTAAACACTCACAAAAACTTATTTTCTCCTTTCTTGATAAAGTATGAGCAACTGGAGGCAAATATGTCTTCTTATCCCCTTGGCGTGGAGCTAATGTTGCTCTTATGTTCATTTCAATCAAGTCTAATCTAGCATTGAGTCCATCTTTAGTCTTACCTTTTATATCTAAAAGAGTTCCAACAAGATTATCACACACATTTTTCTCCACATGCATCACATCAATACTATGTCTCACATCTAATGTCTTCCAATATGGAAGATAAAAAAAATATGGATTTCTTTTTCCATGGACTCTTTTCATTTGGAGGTACCTCAACATTAGCTCTTAACCTCTTACCTCTTTGAGATTTAAGCTTTTGAGTTTTACCAAAAGTAACATTTATACCTTTTACACGTTCATAAACTTCAATCCCAGTCATTGATTGTGGAGCATCTGTATAGTCTTGTTGCCCATTGAAAGCCTTTTTTAATCTCCTGTAAGGGTGAGCTCTATCAAGAAACCTCCGGTGACCCAAGTAGACTGTCTTTCTGCCATGGACAACTTGTGTATAACATGTATTATCTTCACATATAGGGCATGCCTTATGTCCTTTAACACTATACCCAGCCAGGTCTCCATAAGCTGGAAAGTCATTGATTGTGCAAAAAAGCATAGCATGCAACTTAAAATTCTCTTTCCGGTAGGCATCAGACACTAACACACCTTCATTCCACAATTTTTTCAAGTCATCAATCAAAGGTGCCAAAAAGACATCTATATCATTACCGGGTTGTTTTGGGCCAGAAATCATCAAGGACAGTAATATATATTTGCGTTTCATACACAACCAAGGAGGTAGATTATAAATCACTACATAACTGGCCACGAGCTATGCTTGCTACTTAGGTTCCCGTGAGGGTTTATACCATCTGTACAAAGGCCAAGTCTAAGATTTCGGGACTCATTGCCAAATTCAGGAAAAACATTATCAAAGGTTTTCCATTGAGTAGAATCAGCTGGGTGTCGAAGCTTGCCATCAGAAATTTTTTGATCTGCATGCCATGTTAAGTTTTTCGCGTCGCTTGTTTGAAGTTCAGCCCAAATTTTGGGAAAAGATCAAGCCAGAGAAAAGGACAAGAAGGTGGCAGTTCCACAAGTTCAAAAACACCTCAAAGTTCAAGATTGAGATTTGCAAACATACGCTTAAATCTTGGAAGAATTGGGAGATACCACATAACTTTAGCTGGTGGCCCTTTCGAACTTGCCTTACCAACAACATGCTCTCTTATTTTGTACCGAGATGCCCCACAGATCGGACATGCATTCAATTCTTTGTAATCATTCCTAAACAATATGCAATCGTTAGGACAAGCATGTATCTTTTCATACTCCATACCCATGGGACACATAATCTTCTTTGCATCATATGTACTCTTCGGGAGTCCATTATCTTCTAGGAGCATATCGTTTATTAAATCAAGTAAAGCAGTAAAACTCTTGTCGCTCCATCCATTCCCAGCTTTTAAGTTGAATAATTTCAAAACAGCAGATAAGCGAGTATATTTACTACACCCGGGCCATAAAGGCTGTTTTGAATCATTTAATAATTCATCCAACTCATTTGATCGATTTGTGAACTCTTCTCCAACATCACGGAACATTTCGTCCAACCTATCTTCAGACTCATCATCTTCATTTGCTTCGTTGTCAACATACATGTTAGATGTACTAGTTTCTCTTCCTCCTTCACCGTGCCATATCCATTTTGTATAATTTAGATTAATTCCATCACAAATTAGATGATCATATATGTCCTTGGCACTTAATAGTTTTAGATTACAACACTTCTTACAAGGACACCAAAACGTTGCATCATTATTTGGAAGATAACGTTTTGCAAACTCTATAAATTCTCTAACTCCGACTTCATATTCTGTACTCAATCGAGAAGCTTTCATCCAACTTTTATCCATCACAAGTCAATCTAGGATAATATTAATTCCAATTAAACTTTTGTTAACATTGATTCAACTCTATCTAAAATAATTGTTGTGGTGAAAATAGACTAGTAATTACAAATATATACAAATAAACCCTAAAATGCAAATAAATTGACTAAAATTCAAAATTAATCAATAATAATTACAAATATATAAAAATAAATCCTAAAATGCAAATAAATTTTAAAAATAAAATAAGAAAATTAAAGAAACAAAAATTTATAAAAATGGAGAATGAAAATTAAAAACCTGAAAATTAAGAACATAGAAATGATGTAAACGACTTTTAAATTTTGCTATTTTGTCCAATTATAAGAAAGAAAAAAAAACATCCATTTTTTGTCCTAAATGAGACTCCTAAGGAATTAAACTCCTAAGACTTACCAGGACTATGTGGTCCAATGGTACCCGTGTTGGACTTCTATTTGGAAGATTGTGAGTTCGAGCCTCAATAGAGGCGTTATTAGCTCATTGTGTTTCAGTACGTTGAGAAAGTATATGAACAGATAGTACATTGTAATAGAGCACTCCTAAGACGTATACACTCCAAAAAACTCCTAAGACTTAAACCAATTGGTATAAAGTATACACTTTAAAAAGAGTTCAAGTCATCCCTAATACACTTTAAAAAGAGTTCAACGAGTAACATAGTTGGTTTCGTTTGCAATTCATATGAAAGGCTAGCTGTCACAGAAGTTCATAAACCACTATAAAAATAGTCTCAATTTATCTATTACTTGCTCTCTTTTTTTTTTTTTTAATTGATCGCTTGAATTCAAACACACACGTATCATTTTCTAACTCTAGCAAACTTTCAGATTAGCTAGAAATCAAATTAGCAAGCTTATGCCTTTTGCTCTGAGAACTGTTGACAGTATTTACATTTCAAGAACGCATACTTTTTGTAGCATTCTCCATAGACAACACCAATGATGATTTTAGGAAACCATACCCATCATAAACTAATACTTTGCAATTAATCAATAATAATTATAAATATATACAAATAAACCCTAAAATACAAATAAATGGACTAAAAATCGAAATTAATCAATAATAATTACAAATATATACAAATAAACTCTAAAATGCAAATAAATTGACTAAAATTCAAAATTAATCAATAAAAATTACAAATATATACAAATAAACCCTAAAATGCAAATAAATTGACTAAAATTCGAAATTAATCATTAAAACTTACAAATATATACAAACAAACCCTAAATTGCAAATCAATTTAATAAAATTTGAAATTAATTAATAATAATTAATATATATATATATATATATATATATATATATATATATATAACTTACCGGCAGTCGTCCGTCGATGCCTCCGTCGACGATGGCGTAGCGGCGGAGGGAAGCTGCCGGTCTGAGACGGTGCGGCCGCGGGGAGGAGAGGGTGAAGCGGCGGCAGCGGGGGGTTGCAGTTGCAGCGGCGGCGGCGGCGCGGGGACGACGTCGGCGGGTTGCAGCGGCGTCGGCAGCGGTGGTTGCAGATCGGGGAAGAAGAGATGAAGGAGATGGAGGAGATCGAAGAGATGGATGAGATGGTCTGAGCTGAGATCGGGTCGTCAGTCAACGCGTTGGCTATATTTTATAACGTTTATAACGTCGGCTACCTTCTGTAGCAGACGTTATAAAGAAAAAAAATAAATTTTTTTTTTTAAAGGATACGACGTCGGCTAGATACACAGCCGACGTCGTATTAGATTTATTTCTTCTTTTTGTTTTCTTTATAACGTCGGCTAAAGGGATTTAGCCGACTTTATATATAAATAATTTTTTTAAAAAAAAAATAAACGACCTACAACGTCGGCTATTAGTATAGCCGACGTTAGGTTACGTATTTCTTTTATATTTTTATGTTTTATTTATAACATCGGCTTTTACTAGATAGCCGACGTTATAAACTTAATTATAAAAAAAAAATTAAATGTTTTTAACGTCGGCTATTTAAATAGCCGACGTTAAAGACCTGACGTTGTAAGTGAATTCTGTAGTAGTGGTAATAGCAAAAAATAATCTTAATTACATTTCAATTAACATATAGAACTTAATTGAAATATTGAGACAAACCAAAATATCAATATTATCAAATGTAGTAATAGTTGGTAATAGTAGTAGATTCCATGCTCGAACAATTACTAAATGTAGTAGTAGTTAATCAATTTTATTTCTTATGTACAAGATTTGCTACCTAAGCTCTGATACCACCTTGTATCAGAGCCTAACCAATTTTATTTCCTACGCTCTAGATTTGACAACCTAAGCTTTGATACCATCATGTAACAAAGAAAAACGAATCAAGCTTAATACATCGCAAATACAAGGTATTATAAGTCACCTTTGATTTATTTACATTTCCTTTGTTGGGTGTCTTTCCCGAATCTTAAATTATTTTTTACCATAATTTTTCCCATTTCTTCTTGTTGGTTTTGTGGCAATCATCCATGGTCCAAATATCTCTCACAATTTTGGCCTATGTAAGGAAGGTACCTTATATCCATCCCCTTTATAAACAGTAATGTCTTCTTTGGCTCCTCCTTTCACCAGGGGCTTGTCAGAGTTCATCTCCTCTGCTTGTTTCCCACATTTTTTCACTCACATGATCATATATACGCATACTTACCACGAGAGACCTAGCTTCTTGCATCATCCACCCATATAGGCATGCCAATCTTCGACCCAATTTTCCAAACGAATATCTTTTTGTAGTATAACACTAGCCGGCAAGTGAACCCACATAATCACCTTTTCTGTTGTGAAGGTCATTATCTTTTTAGTATATATACGCAAACATTAAACATTCGTTAGTATATACACCATTAATGGTGTATATATACTGACGAATGTTTAATGGTGTAAGAGTAATTTTGTTTGATAAAAATAATAATACAATATTTGTAGTGAAATGTACAATTCAAATCATGAGCACTAATTTAGATTCATTCTTATAAGTTTTTAAAATTTAGATAGATAATACTAAAAAAAAAAAAAAGATAATTGCAAAGGTGAGTGTTGACCAAACGAGAGGAAATGAAAAATACAATAACATCACTAATTTAAACAAAATAACGTCATTTTGAAACATGATCTATAATACAAGGCGAACCCTGATCTATTATATAAGGAATAAGGGTCAAATAGACCACTCAACTGCACACCAAAGTGCAATTAGGCCATCAAACTCAAAAACAATGCAATTGGGTCCCTGAACAACACAAAATCATGGGTCCCTGAACAACACAAAATCATGCAATTAGGTCCAAAATGACTTGTTTTACCTGAATGACCAGTTACCAATTTTAAAAATAATTTTAACAAAAAATTAATTAAAATAATAAAAAAAAAACAAACAAACAAACCATCTTCGTCTCCAATGGCCGGAGATGAAGGTCCTTCGCCTCCAGCCATGGAGAAGAAGACGGTAAGTTTTTTTTTAATTTTAATTTTAATTCTAATTAAATTTTTTATTTAAAATTAATTTTAAAATCGATAACCGGTCTTTCATGTAAAACAGGTCATTTTAGACCTAATTGAATGATTTTGTGTTGTTCAGGAACCCAATTGCATTATTTTTAAGTTCGATGACCTAATTACACTTTGGTATGCGGTTGAGTGGTCTATTTGACCCTTATTCCATTATATAATTTACGTCTTTAATATTTTCAAGAATTGACTTCATGTGGGCTACCTCTTCCTTCATCCAAGTGCATTGAACAAGCCTCAAATCTTCTTCCTTAAGGGTGTGTTTAGAAACCCGGAAAATGATTTCTGGAAATCATTTTCCGGGTTTTTGGTGTTTGGCTGTGCAAGAAAAATGGAAGTAAAAGGAAAATGCCACATAGTCAATAGAAAATGAGGCCTCTTTTCCGGAAAATGACTTTCCCCTTTTTTTGGGAAGTCATTTTCCATTCTTTGTTCTCTCATCTTTTGGCCAGAAAATTTCCGCGACTTCACCAACACCTATTGCGCACTGTTCTCTTCTCTTCGGATTTGGTTTCCGATTTGTGGCTTTACATTTTTCGGCGAGCAGAGAGTGTTATCTACTACTCTCTGGTGTCCGACCGGACACCAGAGAGCAGTGCCGTCTGGTTTCCAGCCGGAAACCAGAGAGAGATTCTCTCTGGTTTTCGGCCGAAACCAGAGAACACGGTCGGAAACCAGAGAGCAGTACTCTCTGGTTTCTGCCGTCTCTTTCTTCTTCTTCTTCTTCTTTTTTAATTTTTTTTTATAAATTTTTAATAGATAATATGATTTGATTTCAAAAAATTAAATATTTTTATATTTTAAACAAAATAATTAATTATATAAACTGTTTAATTATATAATTTTACCTCATTTTCCAGAAAATGAACCAAACACACAAAAGACAGTTTTCCGCTGTGCAGCCAAACACGAGAAAGGAAAATGTTTTCCGGAAAATAACTCATTTTCTAGAAAATATTTTCCAGAACTCATTTTCCTGCTTTCCAAACGGACCCTAAATTCAATTTTTGTTAACAAAAAACTAACATAAATTCTTGATTATATAATTGAATATTGTAAAACTTGAATAAAATTATTTGTCCTTATTGGTAAAATAATTAGCCTACCAGTCAATTTTGGCTTATTTGACCACTATTAACTGTTTTACTTGGTTAAACAATCAATATGAGTGTTAATTAATTAGCTTTTTGTAACAATTATTGCTCCAAAATGTTAAAATTCAAAAAGTTGTTCAAAGTAACATTTTTGATAAGCTTTTTTAGAAAGTCATTTTGTATGTAATCAGCTAATAGCTAACAACTAACAACTAATTTACCAATCAGTTTTCTACAATCAGCTAATGCTATCAACTAGTCAAACCCACTAATCTAATCACGTAACAGCTATCAACTAACAATCATTTACCAAACACCACCATTATCTTTCATTCACACCACCTAGCAAGCAATGAGGTATAAGCTGACCTAAGTTGA